ATTTATATATTCACTGATGATGAGCAACAAACTAAACATTCAAGAACAGAAGATAATATACATTTCTCATGATTTTATAGAAAACTAATTTTACTTGCACATTTAGAACGATGTTGCACAGTGTAATGGACTATTGTGTCACGAAGAAAGGGAGGAAAGTGTTTTAGAATATTTTGTTCCCACCTCTGAAAGCAGGACGTATAATAGGTAATAATGGAAATTACGTTTACTTAATTAATTATTGTTTCATTCCTGATTTTTCACTTCGATGTTTCACGACATCGTTGAATCCCGTATTTTTATTCCGAATGCTCTGTTCTTTAATGAACACAATTTTTTTTTTAATTTTAATATTTACATTAACAATATCGCAGTAGGAAATTTTGAAGCGTAGAAACTATGGCCACTATTTTTTTTTCTAGATTTAAACGAAGGTCGAAGTTCGTCGCTCGATCGTCATAAAAAAGCAAAGTGAAAATGAAATTGTAGTTGATAAAAATGTAACGTATTACGGGACCCTTTCGAATGAAAATAACCGTGAATTTGAAATGCAAGGCACCGTGCAATGTTAATATTTCTCGCTGGAACTTTGTTCCTCGCTGCAACTGGAAAATTTTACCTTCCCGACCCGCGTCACAATATTCGCTTTCAAAGTTCAAAGGCATTCGATATTAAGCTAAATTTTTAATCGCTGCACTTTCGATCGCGTTTTATGCTTTGGCTGTTACGTATTTATAATGGTCCTTTATGTTTTCGCATCTTTTAAAAATTCATCAAAGGGTGGCGGACATCGAACGAGATAAAAGTATGAAACGGAGTGGACTGTTTTTATTTTTTTTTTTTTATAAACTTTATACCGTATTTTTCTTCGAGCTGATGCTTCTTGTTTCTGTTTCATCAATTTCCGCCTAATTTTGCCAATATACAGTCACGACGTCATATGTTCATTTAGACACCGTTTGTTTTATTCGTTAATCATACACGCGAAAATTCTTCGAATTGTTTCGACTCATTAGAAAATTCGAAAACAGTTATCTGTAGCGTGTCTACACCGTGTATAGCACACCTAATCCATATCTATCCCGTACTCGGCACGCGATTATGTGCAGAGAGTAATGAACATTGTTTCGTGATCGTTTTATTGGCTGGCGCCTCGCTTCTGTTTTACGAGGGTTACAAGTGCATCATAGTGCATCGCATTGCGACTTAGTGAAAACTTCGGAGATTAAACGAAGTTGAGTAAAATGACTGCACACAGTTTTGTTACAATTTCTATTATACAATTAAATGTTTAATTTAGCGAATTCAACCGATGAAACAATTCTATAGAAATTGCAATAATATAATAATCATAATAACAAGAATACAATAATAAATAGCATTAATCGTAGCATAAATCGAATACCTGATCCTTTCGGTTTCGTTTACGACGACGATTCGACGGTTTCTCGTAAAATTTATCCTCCTGCATGGATTTTAGGCTCGTTGGTCGTCGCGCCGATGTAGATCTGGTTTAATATTTCACTCACCTTTGTACAGTTGGGAGAAACGACATAGCAAGCTCGTAAAATGGACCCTTAACAAGTAGATTCTATTTATGACGTTGGGCACACGACTATATTTATAACGAGGGGCAATAGGAGTGCGAGAATCATTTGTATCATTAATTGATTTATTTATTCGACGCCTTAAACCGGATGGTTTGCTATCTGATAATTTTATAGATAATTTTTAAGGTCTTGGAGAACATTTTTCGTCTCTAGATAGACAATATATATTCGAACATTTGCAATAATATAGTTTACTCACGCCTTGAAATATGAAAAGTCTGGGCATGAACAGTTGCTGGCAATATAATCCATCATTAATTATTAATTATTATCACTAATAATTATTAATATTTAATATATTATATATATTATTGTTGTATATAATATTATATCGTATTATTGTTATATATAATATTATATCATATTATATATATATATATATATATATAATATATTATATATACTTAATACCATTATTAATTATTAATAATTATTCATTACAGCCGACAATGTACCATTTCCCACGGTGCGCTCAGATTTCGGATTATTTAAATTCCCGAAGCTTCTCCTAGGACTCGAGAACACATCACCATCTCGCAGCAAATCCAAAATTCGTCGGAACGTAGAAGCTCGGAAGTCGGATTTTCGTCGCAGGTCCCCGGTTCCCTCACCACTCCATACAACTCTGGAACTGTCTAACTCATGTAGCTCCAGTGTAGCCCGGGGTCCGGCAGTGTCCGACGACACTGTAACGCGCTGTTGCGCCAGCCGAGCGCGCGAGGCTAATTTCGGTGGGCCCCGAAAGGGCGTGGATCCCGGATCAATGATAGGTGTGGCGCGTCGTCGGTGGCGATCGTGGTTTAGAGACGAAGGAGCCCGTGGAGAACCGGTCGTTGCGGGGCATTTAGAGAAGAAGATTCGTTAAACGACAGACGTCGACGGCGACGACGACGAGGAGGAGGATGACGAGGACGACGACGACGATGACGACGGTGTCGCATCTCGGAATCCGGCGAGCTGCGCACTCGCTACCGCAAAGCCCGGCGCTGCCCCTTTCCTCTTAGCCCGTCGCTTTCCGTGCTCGCTCTATCGCTCGTTAGGCGCGTTAGTCCTCTTCTTAACGCGGAACTTTCGACCTCTCGTTCGTTGGCGAATAGCACCGGCCACTTAGTTTATGCTCGACCCTGTCGTCGGTCGGATCGGCCGAGGGAACCGCGGTCCCGTCTCGCTTCAGAGGAGGATCGGCTCGTGGAAACACGTGGCTACGGAACACGGTTCCGCCCGGCGGCAAGCACGGATCTGGTAACACGAATAGAAATTATTTTTTTTACGCCCTTCGCGGACCTCTTCCGGGGCCCGGCACGACCGTTTCTTCATCGGCGACGAATCTGTCCTCTCGGCTCGGCCTTTCGCCGCCGCTGGCAACCGGTTGATCGCAGGAATCCGCGCCGTCCCCGGGCTTATGTTCCCCGGGGATGATCCTGGTCCGTTGATCGTCCTAACGCGCGCGTGGCCGACGGTCGCGGAGGTCGCCGGGATTAGGATAAGTCCGGGTTCGGGGAACGATTAAGCCGACGCGAGTTTCAAAGTCGACACCGGCGTACGCGCGACACCTTGTTCCCCCGGTTCGCCGAGGTGGGGGGAGGGGTTTTCGCGACGAACACGTTTGATCGTTTTGCGCATATCGTCGCCGCGCATCTTTTTCATTCAAGGGTAACACGGCTGCTCTCGCACATGCCCGCGGCGCTGGTTTACGGGTTTTATTGATAATAATTAATTGATTTTGCTCTCCGCGCCGCGGGCCCGTCCGACGGTGCGGCTCTCTCGTCCCGCGGATTCGCTTATCGTCGCTTTTGTACGTTTTTATCGCGCTAATGAATGTTTACGGTCAGCTTTTTCTGTGCACGCTCTACGGCCGTATGTTAAACAGTGCGTATCTCTCTGTAAGTCGGAAGGAGATGAAGTCGGGGCGGTCCGAGATGTTGTAATAAAATAGGCGACGTCGTTGACATCGCCTTCTTTTGTCAATCGAAATTCATGGGGAATAGTTGTTTCACCGAAAATCGTCTTCACGAGTCACAAGGATTTACAGTTCCATTTGTTTCTCTGTTATTTGAGCTCTTGGGACTCGGCTGACTAGTTTAAAAGCATTTCCGAGAAGTTTAGTTGTTACCCTGATCTTTTTTTAACCACTAAATACTGTCCAATTGTTTTCACGAACGTATCAATTCGTAGATATATTATTAACTCGGCTGTGTAAAACGCTTGCTTAACTGCTCGGTTAATTGTCTAGTTTATTATTATTATTATTATTATTTATTGGCTGCCACAAATGTATACAATTTATTTAATGATTTTCATGGCTGATAAAGCGTTCGTAAGAATCGTTCGTGCGTTATGGAATCATCCTCTTTTGTCATCGCGTTCTAATGTGTTTACCTTGTTCATTTACGTTACTGGGAGGGTCGTTTCAATGAACGGAACAACAAAGGACTTTGTTTCCCCTGTTAACTTTCATGTGGAAAAATAACGATCTTCTGGAAAGAAACGATTCGTTCGCTGCACAACGTTTATATCGTATACATAATTAAATATATATTTATATTATATATATTATATATATTTATATTATATATATTATATATTTATATTATATATATTATATTTATATTATACACATTATATTTATATCAGATATATTATATTCACGTTATTCGTTATGTTTATGAAGCAACAGAAAAGGACGCTTGAAAAAATTGGAACCGTTTCAAATGTTTCCGTATGGTCGCGGCGAAGACGCGTTCGAATTTATCGTGCTCAGACTTTTCGTGTGAAATGGAAACCCATTGGCCGACAATCTACGGCTCGGAGCGAAACTTTCAATGGGTATCAGAATACGATGAGCAATACGCAATTGTTGTAACAGTCGGCGAATGCCTCGTTCAATTACAAAGAATTGTTCCTTCGCGCCGAAGATGCGTCACTGGTCACTATCAACTGGCTTCCTTCTTCAGAAAGATAGGCTTTGTTATCAATGACCGGCGGCGTGCTACGCGTGAGAAGGTTAATCGGTGGTTAATAAACATGGGAGTCGTGTACGATGTATGTAGTTCGTGTGCTTCGAACCGCTCAACACGAATGCAGATGAATGTCAAGGTTAAACTGAACGGATTCGATGATTTTACGCAAAGACATGGGTGGACGGTGAATAATACTGGCGCGTTCGGAATAGCATCTTTTACGTTACAAATTGTTCCCGAGCGACGCGAATATTTCTCTTCGCGTTATTCTTGCCTGGGATGTTGCTCTTTTCTGTCGAAAATCGACGCCAGAGTAAATTGACTTCAATTCTGGATAGTTTTATACTGTCAATTTCCGTACTATCTCGTTATCCATAGACTGTGGATCTTCGTGCAAAATAAATGCTTTCTTTTTATATAATTTACATAATTTAATTTAGCTTGATCGAACAGTTAAAATGATTGAAAACATTTATATATATTAATTGAGTTTAAAAACTAAATTTAATATAATAATAAACTAAATTGTATATATATACAATTGTATATTATTATATACATTTATTACATATTTATTATTGTATATTATGATATACATTATTACATACAATTGTATATTATTATATTAAATTTAGCTTCTAAATTCGATTTAATTGTTAAACGCGAAAGCTCGCACGATCTTCGACTACGTTATATTCTAAAATCGATTAAAACACATAGAATTGTGCCGATGTCCTCTACGTAATTGATTAAAGAATGTCCACATCGACGGTGAATAAAAATATCGTCGTATCTTGCTCATATTGTGCCATAAATCGTAACGGGAAGATATATCTGCCAGTGTCCGATATATGCTGCGCAATTATTGTACGATAAAAGCTGTTTAAGCTGGTATCTGTATATGTAAATAACAGTGTGCTAGATTGCGACGAAAAACTGATACAAACGAACACTGTGACGTGTTACTATTTTTATTATTTTTATTATTTTTATTACTTGCTACCAGGCAACTTATAACTTACCGGTAATTTTAGAATTGCAAATGTTCATCGAATAATCATGTGAAGAGAGGTTCTATTGAATTAGTATTACCAAATTGCTACGATTCACCATTCCGAACCGATAAGGCTGTCGCAGTTATCTGCTGTCGCGAGCTTCCTCGTACGATTCTGAATTACGTTACAACGCTTTCGAAAAGTGTCGTCGTTGTGTTTACTTTTCTACTTGCTGTTAAACGACGGCAATTTTCTCAAATGTTCTAATTCGCGGGTAAGAACGCGACCGGCGTAAAGGAAAAACGTCCTTTACTCCGTCGGACCAAATTGTAGTACATTAAACGCTTGTCTTTGCAATCTAACATTTGCTGATCGGACATTTTTCTTTTTCTTTGGATCGGCACTTTTTTGTTCGGTAGATTCTGTTATTGTTTAGAAAGCATTTGCGTGGACGACTAGGATATTTATAAGAATGAAGAATATATTCTATTTTTGAAGAATCGTCTGATTCACGCTTTCTTTTATCAGGTGTGTCGTTCTTTAAATCACAGCGAATACAACCGTGCGATTATAAACAGATATGTTGGGCTCTCGATTACGTAAACATATTAATACGATAAAAATACATTCGCCGATAAGAATACGAAACGGTGAATCAACGCGAACGAGATAAGCAAATTGTACAACAGCAACTGTGACGAGTATTATAACTCATTCGTTATCTTATTGGTAAATATACGCGTAAACAATGCGTTGATCTTACTTGCTCGCGGGCTTAGATTCATATTTGTACGCATATTTGATCGGCTCGTAAAGATTTACAGCTCTATCCAAGTGACGATCGATGGAATAAAATGTTGATCTTCGTTTTAATCATTTTCAACTATAATTTCTGGAACACGTTGCACATGCACATGCAGCCGACAAACTTTGATCTGTTATAAAATTCACTGTCGAAGAAAAGATGCGCGTTGTACTTGTTGCGTTACTTCACAATTACATTTATTATTATTAAAATTATTAGAATTAATATACAATTGATTGTTAAAATTATTATTATTATTATTATTAATTATTAAAGTTACAGTCGACGCTCGAAGCGCGAAGCATCGTCAGTTTCAAGTTTGTAGTTTCGGTTTCGCATTTATTTATTTCTATAAGCAGTCTCTCTTTTCGAGTTTGTAGTTTCGCTTTCGCATTTATTTTTGACCGTCGCGCGACGTTGCAACGAAAACAGAAGAGCACGTCGCTTTCGCAGAAGAATCTCAAAGACGACGGCCCGTCTTCGGTTTCTTTTTCCCCAACTATTAACCGTCCGCATAATATGATATCATTTGCTGGCTCCATTATGTTATCATTAGGTTCGGTGGCTCGCTTGAATTAGACTCGACTATTTAATGTTCTTAGAAAGTTGCATTGACGGGCCGGCTCGAATAATCTGATTATTATGTTGTTCTGGCGGGCGAGCGGCGGGCTCAAAATTTGCTGCGTTTCCAACGTGGCAGCATACATACAATGTAACAGTTTCGTTTCTGCCTCAATTGGCAATCGTCACTTTGTCGGATGCGCATGCATTGTACAAGATGTGTATCAAGACAAATCGTATTTCGCATAACGTACACCGATTATCCTCTATTAAGCTTTTGCACAACCGGAAAGGGAAACAAAAGCAACACCTCTTACCTGTTTGTTGCCCTTTTGTTGCCTTGTCACCTTTTACACGTTTGCGCGTTCTATTTATTATACCGCAAATTCTCCCCTAATCGACGCTCGCCTTGTGAAACAAAAATTCCGTCGTCTTCGTTTTTCCATCGCCGTGTATATGTCTCTCTAATTGACGCTTAGATTGTGCAGAAAAATGGACAATTTAGGAAGAGGAGATACGATTGTTCGAAACCTTGTGGCTCGTTTTTTTATGGTTATCGATTGTCAATAATTATAGAAACGAGCCGCGAGCCTCGAATAATCGTATCTCCTCTTCCCAGATTTTCTATTTTTCTGCACAATTTGAGCGTCAGTAAGGGAGACATTACTGTATACAGTAATTATATTATATATATTATATATAATAATATTATATTATATTATAGTATATTATATTATTATATATAGTATATTATATTATAGCCTCGCGGCTCGAATAATCGTATCTCCTCTTCCCAAATTGTCCACTTTTCTGGACAATCCGGGCGTCAGTTAGGGAGACATTGCCGTACATATTTTCACATTGTTACGAATTGCTCTTGATACGGGTTCTCTATGCTAAACCGTGCGCAGACTCGTTTCCACGTGCAGATAACAACCGTAATTAACTTGTTTTAATATTTCCCCCGGCCGCGTTATCGGTCTCGTGAGTTCACGTCACTCGGTTATTTAATACAGAATTGTCTCGCGGCCGAGGCGTGCATTAAGAAGCGCGCCCCGTTCCAAGAAATCATTTCGATCGGCGGTAATTAAAACGCATCCGGCGTCTCTTCTAATCGAACGGCCTCTGCTTTGACATAATTTTATGGATCGCCGTATTCATTGTAAAATACAAAAGAAAGGCTCGGCGACGCGCAACGCGCCGGCGTATTGTATTTCTCTGTATCCTCTCCTCTATGTTCGTTTAAAGCTTTGATCTCGCAGAAAGCTTTTACCAATTCGCTGGGATATATGTATGCGCCGCTCTGCTTCCAGAATGATATTGTAGTCGGCTTTCGGTGCCATACAAAATGCAAGAAAACTCGAAATTTTTAACGCGTTCTTTCGCGTTAAAACGCGGTTTTTAACGTGTTATTCGCACGCTAATATTTATATACGCCGGCTCAGCGTGTTCTGCAGTGTTTCACTGTTCTACGACTATGAGATATATATTTAATATTATATGTGAAACATATGGAGAACGTAAATATTGGAGTATAAAATATTCCTGTATAAAATATTTCAATATAAAATATTCTAGTATAAAATATTCTAATATAAAATATTCTGATATAAAATATTTCAATATAAAATATTCTAATATAAAATATTCCAATATAAAATATTCCAATATATCGCAGTATGTACAATGAATACTTGACGAAATTGAAATTAATATACATCGATTGATACAATTTAACAAAATTTCAATTATTATTATTATTAGTAGTAGTAGTAGTAGTGGCATTAGTGTGCTTTATCGCTTTCCTCAAACGGATTACAAGGCTTCGTCCCCCATATTCCATCTTTACATTTTCCTTCTATCGCTAAATGAATAAAACGATTGAAGCAATTTTTTCATTCAAGCTATTTCAACTTCAGACACCGGAACACCGTTTAATAAAAATAACTGTTTTTAAACAGGGCCAAACGACCGGAATTTGTTTCGAATGTTAAAGGGACTAGTTTACGATACAGACTAAAATACTTTTTTCTAACAAATTCTGCTGTTATTTGCGATATATAGCGATAAAAAGAACCTTTCGTTTCCTAACATTTCGCCATCGATTCGAATGAAATTTTCAGTACGCGCATATGTTATCGAGATGCATGCGAAATGCATTTTTGAAATTTTCGTTTCGGTATTCCGATAGAAAAGTTAGCAACCGAGGGTTTATTTTTTATTTTTGTTCGTCGTTCCAAGCAACAGCAACATTAAAAGAGAGTATTATAGTCGTTGTACAATAAACCAGTCCCTTTAAGATTGAAAAGTGTTCGATTCGTTTAGTCCAGTTTTCAAAAAATTCTTGCGTTCTAAAAGCTACAGTAAATCCCCCCTAATCGCCCTTGTTAACAAAAATGGACAATTTGAGAAGAGAAGACACGATTACTCGAGCCTCGCACCTCGTTTTCATAGCAATCCGCGGCTTCGTTCGCGAGTTATTAGCGAAAAACGGTGACCAATGCGAGACGAGATCTAGTTGGCGCGAGACGGCCGAGCCAAACGGCGGAACCGGGCTTCGCGCGGCCGCCTCTTTGGGCCGCCTCGCGCCAGTCGAGCTCGCCTCTCATTGGTCACTGCTTTTTCGCTAATAACTCGCGAACAAAGCCGCGGATTGAATTTTCGCCGAGGAAATAGTTGCTTCGAACGACCCGAGGAACCCGTATCTCCGAGTTCCGCGACATTTTCGGGACACCCTGTATAGACACTGGACCGGGCGCTCTCCCTTTTGCAGATCGCAGACACCCTCGGGACCGGGCCGGTGTGTAGCGGATCAAAAACGAAGCGAACGATGACGCTCGCCGAGAATGCCGAACGCAAGCGAAGTTCCAGCGATGTTTCGAGCGCGGCGGTCGAGGACGCGCGGGACGGCCAGCCGTCGGAAGAGAACTCCAACGTGAGCGTGGAAGGGAATCCTTTGTTGGAGCCGGACAGCAGGTCCGTGTCGGTGAAGATCGAGAGCACCAGGCCGAAGAAGACGGCCAGCATGGACGACGCCGAGCAGACGTTGACGAACAACACGAGGCACGATCCGGAAGCGGGCCAGCCGAACAACGTTGCACCGCCGGACGGCGGGATGCGGGCATGGATGATCATGATCGGCAGCTTCGTCATCAACGGCGTATTGTTCAGCGTCATTAACACGTACTCGCTGATCTACCTAGAGCTGCAGAAACGGCTGCTCGAGTCCGGAGAGACCGCGGCGTCTTCGAAGGCTGGTGAGTTTGTTTAATTGCTTCGATAAAAGGGGCGGCGAGCGGCGATAACGTTGTTGTTTGGATTGCTGAAAGTAATTGTCGCTGTAATAGCCTGGCTTCTAGACTCTAGTACAGCGACGGCGAACCTATGACCCGCGGGTCAGCCGCTGACCCACGCGGGAACGGACGATCAGAAATATTTAAAAAATAAAGTATATATAATGTCTAATAATAATAACAATAATAATAGTAATAATATTATTATTATTAGACATTACATATATAATAATAATAATAATAATAATAATAATAGTAATAGTAATAATATTATTATATAATATTAATATTATTATATATATATGTAATGTCTAATATTATTTTTGTAATATTTTTGATTGTCTATATTATTGTCTATATTATAATATATAATATTGCCTATATTATTGTCTAATATTATTATAAATATATAACGCCCAATATTATTTTTTTAATATTTTCGATTGTCTATTCTTTCTTTTATTGTTCATTCAAATACTCAGTGCAGGGCTGATTGCCGACTGGGCATGCTGTCAGTAATTTATGGTGTCATCCCATTTATATCAATTTTTTGCAGTCGCCCTTTATTTTCTGCTCTCCACTTGCAAAAGTAAAAGCTGCTAAACAAAATGGGAACGTAAACTTTTATAGAATATTTCAAAATCCAAAAAAAGGTAGTTTTTAACCATCCACCCCCATCATCCCCGTTTCCAAGCGACGCCACTGACTTAGCGACCCACGAGCTGGTACTGAAAAAAGACAAAAATAATGAACAAAATTTGACCCAGTTCTCGGAAATGTTCGCCATCGCTGCTCTAGCAGTTCTTGCGACGATTCACTGCGCTCACGCCTGATCATTTTTAGCGGTGCATTGTACGCGACGTCGAGGAGAGCGAACGTTGTTCTAGACCGTTTGAACCGTGCGATACGGTTAATTGGAACTTTAATTAGATCATTTTGTAGGTTCGATTGCGATCCGGAGAGAAAGGAGAAGTTAGGACTGTCTGGTGGTCAAGCGATAAGGAAAGTTGATGAGGAAAAATTTGGACTTAGACTTTTGTTTTTTTTTTTGAAATAGAATCGACTAAGCCAGTTGTTAAATTCTTTGAAATTGAAACAAATTTTCGGGTGCAATAAACTGCAAGAAATCGGAGTTATTTTGTTTGTGGAAGCGGTTAAGGTAGCTGCAATTAAGACGTTGATTTGTTACGATATAGCGATCGACGTTGTTGCATTATGGTAATTGCATTGTGTATAGTAATTTATTAGTTTTATTCTTCGGGTATTCTTCTTCTTCTTGGAACAAGTATCATTAGTTGGTTCAATTAATTCTCGCGTTGTACGACTGAACCGTGGATTCACATTTCTATAGTTTAAAAATGCAAGGGAATGTGCATATTAATTATTATGGTCGTCGCAGGGAATTAGTTTAAATTCACGTCAGAAACGTTCGCGTGTTCGAATATTATTTTATAAAACAATGAGATCGAAAAACGAGAATTTGCAGGAAGATGCACTTGTACGCGCATTTGTAGAATTACGTTCTTCGTAATATAGTTCGCACATATCGTACATATTATCTCGTGCGGAAATTTAACGCGGACTTTTTATTATTAGTGTACTACGTTAACGGCGAAACTTCGAGCAGTTAACGCGTTTACGGATATTTAAGCGTCGAGCGTGCTCCACGTGCACGCGAATAACAGTTCTCGTCATTATTTAATATTTTCATGGCGCTGCAAATTTTCTGCATAGTAGGTCATTGTTTCGGATTTTTCGCGTCGTTGCATACGTCATGAAACACGGCGAACGGTTAATGCGTCTGCCGTATTTGAAATTTAATATTTCGTTTCGACAATAATATTAAGTTTCGAACATTTTCCGGCCGATTATTAAATACCAAGCATTTCTTTTTTTAATGTTTTCGTTATTGCAATTTTTTACCTAGGTTATTTCAGCATCTAATAGAAATGTCCATCCACTGCTTTTCTATTAGATATTGAAATAACCAAATAACAATATCTATAATAACAATATCAAATAGAAATGTCCATCCACTGCTTTTCTATTAGATATTGAAATAACCAAATAACAATATCTATAATAACAATATCAAATAGAAATGTCCATCCACTGCTTTTCTATTAGATATTGAAATAACCAAATAACAATATCTATAATAACAATATCAAATAGAAATGTCCATCCACTGCTTTTCTATTAGATATTGAAATAACCAAATAACAATATCTATAATAACAATATCAAATAGAAATGTCCATCCACTGCTTTTCTATTAGATATTGAAATAACCAAATAACAATGTCTATAATAACAATATCTAATAGAAATGACCATTCATTGCTTTTCTGTTAGATATTGAAATAACCAAATAACAATATCTAATAGAAATATCGATCGATTGCTTTTCTATTAAATATCGAAACGACCTAGATAAAAAATTGCAATTTCGAAAATGAACATCAATTAAAGAGAAAAAGTTTAGCCGGGGATCCGCGATTCGTACGAATGTTTCCGACTGAATAAACAGCCGAACAGAAAATGTCTTCAATGGAGAAGAGATACTTTACGCTGCCAGTGTCGGCGCAGTCGTTCGCGTAATTTTTGCTAGGCTCGATTACAGCGAGTACAATAGATTCTGCGCGCGGGCGCAAAACGAAATAAAAAGTAACGCTGCGTTTCGCTTCTATCGGATCTGTGTACGACGGGCGGTTGTTCAGCGCAGTCAACGAACCGCCGTTATCTTCCCATTTTTAGTATTTACGAATTCTTCCGTCGATAAGGTATTATCTAATAGTTACTTTTAACGACGGATCATTGAACCGTCTCCGCTTCATTCACATTTTGTTTTCGTTCCCTCGAAATCGCCTCGAAGATTAAAACGCTGAAATTTTCTCCGAAACTCGCGTTCGCGGCGTTTTGAATTTTCTGTTCGCTGCGAGTAATTTTCTCGGTCGACGAAAGAAACCTCGCTTCGATTCGACGTACGTTTGTAAATCGACGCACGAAAATGCGAATTCGCAGGAAGATCCGCGGTTAAATTGGCGATCATTTTCCATAAGGAATCGCTGCGCCGGTTCGACACAAGCGATTTAGTTGGGCGGCGTCGATCGTGCGATTCTCGATCGTGTTTACGAACAATTAGTAAATTATGTAAGCTCGGCGCGGATCATACTCCGCCGATAAGAACGCCAATAACCCCCGTACAGTATAATTCCGTTTGTTAATTTGTCCGTGGCCTGAATATGCAAACGCGTGGCCGCCGCGCCACCGAATCCAGCCGTATTGACCGTTTCTTAGGCTTAATCATTGTTAAACGCGGCATGAAATAACTACTTAGGGTTGCATATCAATTAAACCGGATCGATCGGCCTAATCGTCCGTAGAGTCAATGCTCGGGACAACCTGGATCTGAATTAGTCGACAATTACGTGGACATTAATAGTAACGAGGGTCAAATAATATTAATCTAGGGGTAGTTACTCTTTCAAGTAAAACTAGACCTTTGCGAAGCGACGCGGCCAATGAACGATGCCCCTGAGATCATGCGCCGCGATAAGAGACGTTCTATTGTTTATTAACGTGACATCAATTTGCAACCCACTTTTCGGTAGCCTCGCGTCTCCCCGGAAATCTGTCTGTCGATTTCGAACAGTGCGCGCGGATCACGTTCGTTGTTTTATTCGCGTTAATACGGTATATAGTATTCGGATTGTTATCGAAATTTGATAGAAAGTGCGACAAAACGCGTTGCAGTGGTCCCAAAAGCTAAACAACGTCGAGCTAAATTTTACCGATTAAAAAATATTGCGATCGAAGCTGAGAAAAAACATTTGACCGCTGGAAACATGGCGTAAGTCTTTGTCGATGTTACTAGCAACCGACCGAAATAATTGCTAGTTTAATAAAAAATCGATTAGCTTGACTCTAAATATGCCAGACCTTCCGGTTACGTTCGCTTTTTTGTGTACAGTAATGTCTCCCCTACTGACGCTCAGATTGTCCACGAAAATGGACAATTTGGGAAGAGGCGATACGATCGTTCGAGCGTTGCAGCTCGTTTTTATAGTTACCAATAAATATAAAAACGAGCCAAAATGCTCGAATAATCGTATCTTCTCTACCTACATTGTCCATTTTTGTGGACGATCTGAGCGTCAATTAGGGAGACATTACTAATTAGGGAGACATGCTTCGATAAAAAGTACGATGTCAGACGGTTTTTACATCAAAAAAGCATTGCACCGCTATCATTCGAACGATTCGCAAACAGATGCAACTCGTGCCGAGCTCGTCCAGAATGATTAAGTATAAGGAGTAAGTGCAGTAATTTCTCCCAGAAATGTTCGGAGGTCGGAATTGTGAAACCGAAATCGAAACCATAAAATTGAAATCTTGAGATTCTTCGGGCCTTGCGGCTCGTTTTTTTTTATAGAAACTCGGGACACTCGGCGATAAAAGCCGATAAAAGGCGATAAAAGCATTGTAGAATGTAAAAACGACGACTTAACTTTGTTATTTATAATCTTTTGCCACGATTCCAAGGCAATTCTAAGGCCCAAACGGACCATTTTTTGTGTTCTCTTCCGGGAATTCGTGTCGCGTGCCGCATCGCACGCTTCGCTCCGTCGGTCCTTAGCATAGGCGTAGCGATAAATAACATGGGCGTAGGACTGGCACAGGGTTATGAAATTCGCAGCGACCCGAAATTTCGCATTCCCGGAAGAAATTACTGTACGTACGATTGTTTATACCTACTGATGCTCGAATGTATTTTTACTATAGCTTTAGTTGGATCTTTAACCATTGGTACCACGTTCTTTTTATCGCCGGTCTCTGGCATCCTCACTGACAAAATCGGCATCCAGATGACAACGTTTGTGGGCGGTGCTCTCGCATCCAGCGGAATGTTTCTCTCGTCGATATTTTCCGACAAGGTGAATTAGTTTCTCATTTCCTCGACTTGGATCGATCTTTATTCGACGCGACGAGCTTTTTCAATTGCGATCGTCGAGATTGTTGCAAACAACGGTTTATGAAAATGTTTCGCAGAGGGCGATGAAATAATTTATGACGACGATGACATTAAGACGAAAAATTATTATCATTCTTTTGTCGCTGTTCTTAGATCGCAAATATACATTTAGCAACACTGTAGATTATCCGTGGACGATTTTTAATTATTTCGTAGACTGTAACTCTAACAATTCAATCGCCTACGATCTACAGTATTATAACAAAAAGTATCAAATGTCCGAAGAAACACGTGTTTTTTGAAACAGTAATTTTTAGCGCCGCGCGGATCTAATATTCGGATTAGAGAAAAATACTCGATCGGAAGAACAGTTTTACTAAAATAGGAACGGTTTTATTTTCGCGTACAAATTCAGGACGAATTACGCTTCTTTCCCGAGCGTGTATCGTCCGATGAAAACGACTGCTATTGTAATATTTTTTATTGCTCATTCAGGTGGCGTTACTCTATTTGACCTACGGTGTGATGTATGGACTCGGCGCGAGTTTGGCTTACACACCGAGCTTAGCGATCCTGGGGCATTACTTCAAGCGATACCTGGGTCTGGTGAACGGTATCGTCACAGCTGGAAGTTCAATATTCACCACCCTCATGCCGTATTTCATCGAGGTGATACTTCGCCGATTCGGATTAGAAGGCGCGCTAAGATCCTTGGCCGTGCTCACCGCGATCGTTATGGCCTGCGCGATTCTTTTCAAACCGATTCCTTGTAAGTGGAGCTTCGATAATTTCGATATAATTTTTACTTCGAGGGTTTCCGTGGCTCTCGCGAACTCTCGGCGAAGCGGAGTACGAGAATCAGCATAAATACAGTAATATAGATCGCCGAAACTCGGTCGCTTTTTCACGCTTTGCTCGCGAGAGCCTATTAACGCATTACCGAAACCTGAAACGGGAATTCTCGTTTTATTGCAATACGCGTTGCCGAGACAGAGGGAACTGTTTTCTAATATTATACAAAAATATTAGATTCTAATATTGTCCATATATATGTCTCTCTAATTGACGCCCAGATTGCGCTCAAAAATGGACAATTTGGGAAGAGGAGATACGATTGTTCGAGTCTTGCGGTTTATTTTTATAGCTATAAATTGTTCATAATTATAAAAACGAGCCGCAAGGCTCGAATAACCGTATCTCCTCTAAATTATCCAATTTAGTGAACAATCTGAGCGTCAGTAAGGGAGACATTACTGTACAGCGGTCGCACAAAAGTGTTCGCGCATCCTTCAAAACGCGATAACTTTTTTCCAACTACACCGAGCGACTTGAACTTTTTTTTAGATGATAACGGGACTAGTGTCCTAGACGACGACCAAAATTTTTCTAGATATTGCTACTCTTGCTATACTTAATTTAACCTCAACCGAGGAGTTACGCGCAAGCTGAGAAAGCGAATGTTTTATTTCGAAATTAGCATCGCTGATTTCTGGATACAACTTTGTGATCGGTACTGTCGAGAAGGTGGGAGGGTGGGGCACCCTGAAAACACTGCAAAGAAACTAGAATCGACGCACCAGCGAAGCAACCGAGCAATCTAATAACATACTGCACGTGGTCCGCCGAAAACGGCTCTCTCGACGAGTCGGACTCGTCTACAGTGGCACGTGAAACGAATGACGACCCCGACTCGTCATCGTGTGTCAAGGGGTTAACGAAACAGACACTGTTTTCATTTGTAGAATCGCAGAGAGTTATCCGGCGGACACGATGCACGACGCGATAATATTATCCACATGCTACCTTGCGAAAACAGATTTTAATCGAAGTTGACTAATTAGGGTGCTTGTCTCGTTACCCGCGCGGCCCACCGAAGATTGCGGCGCGCTTCTAACAAGCTTGAAAAGCGAGCTTGTAGTTTACACCGAACATTCGTTAGAATTAACGTCCCGAAAACCGTGTCGCGAAACGCTCGCTATTGTCGGTGCACAACATTTTCGTGGAAAATCGCGAATTAATTATTTCTTATTACAAGCCTGGTATTGTAGAAAATCGCCGACGCTACGCATCGATTATTTTCGCGTCGAATCGTGGCGGCGAGCTGCGCGAATCATTCGCAATCATTCTTCCAGTCACGCCCGAGCCGCGGAACCAGCTGAAGTCGAAGTCGGACATCAAAAGCTGCGTGAAAGCGATCGTGAACGTTTCGATATGGAAGAAGAAACGATACGTGGTTTGGGCGAGCTCCATCCCCCTGGCGCTGTTTGGGTTAGTAAGGCAACCACACACATGCACGCACATACACACACACACACACACCCCGGCTGCAAGAAATCGCGGCGAATAATCCAGGACCGATGCTATCGCCGCAGCTTTTCCGCGCGAACGATCCGCGAACGTCGGGTCAACGTCTTCGCGGGAATCTTTCTTTCTCTGTTCTTTTCTTTCCTTTTTTCGCGCCTTGTTTGTTAAGCCGTTCGGCTTCGCAGGCGACACCGCGGCTCGCCGTTGATATCGAGACAATGGAAGCTGTCGCATAAAATAAAATTTCAGACGCGGCGCGAGCGAGCGAGCTCGCGCGCGCGCGGAAACGTTGCCGGGGAAGTTGCAGGCGGCTCGGTCGCGACGGTTGCGAAAGTGGAACTCGTTTCTCGGGCGGCAATCAAGTTACACGGCGTGTAATTCAAACCGTTGTAAAAGAAACGACCGCAGCGAAAGCGTCAACCGTATAAAATGACATGGGCTTCGCGGATCAATGAGAACGTTCGTTTCAGGTATTTCGTCCCGTATGTTCATATAGGGAAATTCGTTGAGACAGTATTCAAGGACGCGGACGGCAAGCTTCCGATCATGTGCATCGGCATCACGTCGGGCCTCGGCCGATTGATTTTCGGCTACATCGCCGATCTGCCGAAAGTCGACCGGATATTTTTGCAACAGGTAAGTCGATCGCGTCGCTTCATCCGGCCACGCTGCTTCCGGGTCGCTAGTGACCCCTGTCTAGAGCGCGGCAAGCGGAATGCAAGCGCATCCGTAGTCTTATATGTTATTTCGGCGAGCTCTTTTCGTTTGCTGCGTTTGCGAGCACAATTTGACGGCATTCTGAATCTCGAAAATAGATACAGTAAATTTTTTCTATCGATGCTCAATTTTATAGTCAATTTTATAGTCAAGGTTATAGTCAAGTTTTATTAGTCAAGTTTTACTAGTCAAGATTTATTAGTCAAGCTTTATTAGTCAAGTTTTCTTAGTCAAGTTTTATAAGTCAACTTTTATCAGTCAACTTTTAAATGTAACTAATAGTCAATTTTTCCGCAAGTTTTATGGTTTCATAGTTACACGCTCGTTTTTATACGAATATTCGCATCTCCTCTCCCCAAATTGTCCATTTTTGTGCGCAATTTGAGCGCGAATTTGGTAGAAATTACTGTATAGTGCGCGTCTGCGATGAAAAATCCGACACGGATCGCTAGTGACCCGGTCACGGTATTACATCTGCAAATATTGTTACATTCTGTTCGAATTTGTCTTCCCTTTCAGATTTCTTTCGTTAGCATCGGCGTGCTTACCATGCTTCTACCTGTCACACCTTCTTTCATGGTGTTGTTACTTATCTCTCTGGCAATGGGATTGTTCGATGGCTGCTTCATATCCCTGCTGGGCCCCATCGCCTTCGACATATGCGGCCGAGAAGGGGCCACCCAAGCCATTGGATTCTTGTTGGGCATGTGCTCGATACCTTTGACCGTGGGTCCGCCAATCGCTGGACTTCTGTACGATCACACTGGTAAATATAGTCGATCGTTTCTGTTTCTTCTATTCGTCTTAATATTTCTCAAAGGATTCGTCCAAACGGCAGCCGCTGTACCGAGAGAATCGATTACTTTTATCGCAAACAATGTGTGACAGAAAATTTCGGGATTAATTCTTTGCGATAATTTAGGATAGCAATAAAAATCTTGCTTCAGGTTTAGCGATTATTAATTGCAAATCTGCCGATACAGTGGCAATTGGAAGCATTCGTTTGAAATGGCTATAGGCGCCACTGTTGTTCATCGAACATGCACCTTTGTTGGCTGGGTTGCCAATACAGAAGAGCGTTTTGAATTGTTCAATTTTTATTACTAGATAATTGTACCTTGAATTGTACTTAAATTGTACAATTGTATTTGCGATAATTGTACCTATTACATTGTTCAATTTTTGTCACTAGATAATTGTACCTTAAATTGTACTTAAATTGTACAATTGTATTTGCGACAATTGTATCTATTACATTGTTCAGTTTTTGTCACTAGATAATTGTACCTTAAATTGTACTTAAATTGTACAATTGTATTTGCGACAATTGTATCTATTACATTGTTCAGTTTTTGTCACTAGATAATTGTACCTTAAATTGTACTTAAATTGTACAATTGTATTTGCGACAATTGTATCTATTACATTGTTCAGTTTTTGTCACTAGATAATTGTACCTTAAATTGTACTTAAATTGTACAATCGTATTTATGATAATTGTACCTTGTATTACATTTCCTTCGAAGCAGCTTTATTTTTGCGATTTCACTGATTCGCTGTTTTCGTTTGTGTTCTCATTTAGGTAGCTACGATCTGCCGTTCTTCCTAGCAGGTATACCACCCATAGTCGGAGCACTGATGATGTTCCTAATAAAGTTCGTTAAAGACGACGACCAGAACTGTATTAGAGAGAACGCGGATAATAAGGCGGCTTGTCAGAATGGTCGGTAAACAGGTATTTGTGCATCCTTCACATCTAACTAACAGAGTCTGTTTCTCCATGTGGTATTGAAACACGTGCGTGTCAGTTTGTAAACTGTGTTCACGAAGGCGGTCGAAACTTTCCATGGAAAGCTTTTCGGATAAATAAAACACGAATCCGTCTGCTGTCGAGGGGGGCAGAGAGGGAGAAAGAGAGAGTGAGAGAGCACTTGGTAAAAATGAATTCAATATTTGGAGGAGATATGTTTGCATAATTCTTTTGCTCAAACAAACGATTGCCTCTATTTATTCTTCTCTCACGTACTGCATCACCGGCTGGGATTTTCCGCATGTTTTCACAATTGCACATTTTCTTTTCGCACGACACTTCCATTACGTTCATGAAATCGACAAAACGTCCGAAATATTCCTGGCTATTATTTCTAAATAGGATGTTAAGTCTTTCTAATTAACAAGTCGAGAATTTCATCGGATTCGATCGTTTATGTTATCCAGGAATATTTTTAACACCCTCGATGCACAGATGTTTTGGGAAGTTCTAATGCATTTTCGCTTTTAATCAACTTGGCTTTGCGATCACTGATTCTTAATTGCACTATTTCAAGTTTTAACATCGCTTATTTCTGTTTTCTTCGCGTCGATTTATAACAAGGTTTGTTACGATCGTCCTGATTAATCTGGATAATGTGGCACTGACATAATCAATCACTTCTTGCATCCGGGATCGTCGAGTTTTAAGTTAATTTTAATACGTCTGCAGTGCTTTTTTTTATAGAAACAAGTATGTTTTTATTAACGTGAAATTAATATTTTGTTCTTATAAAAGAGACAATCAAAGTTAATGCTTTATGAACATTTTTCGTTTTATGTGAAACGACTAAATACTTGATTAATGCTCTTTTAATAACGATAATAGCTATAGTCAGTGTCTGTTAGATTTTCATTTAGATTTATTTAAGTTACCTATTTCGAAATCTCGCTTTTTCTGTACTTACCCTGACATAATTATTTGATTCTTCGTCGTATTTCGTCCTTTTAGACGCAGCTTCGTTCTTCTAGCTCGAACAGTAATTTCACTTTTTTTGTAAAAAATATCGATTTCTCATTTCGGTCGAATTTCTGCAGTTATCTTAACGTTTACAAAATATTATCTCAATTGCCATTTTTTCGTTCTCACAAATAATGAATGCAATACGTTGTATATTTTTCTTAATCGCACAAACTAAGTATAACTATAATATTCCAAATAACTTTTTAACGAAACAAATTATAAAAAGAATTATAAAAAAAATTTGTTGTCAACAAAGAACGTCGAAGAAATCGATAATTTTAATAAAACAAGACAAACTCTTCGCTTAACGCATCCACTGCCAAGCTTACTTCGAAGAAATCTGTTCTATATAGACGCCATTTCTTTTTTTCATCCCTAGGTGGGCGTCTGCCACGAAACATCCCCTAATTGACAGCGACTGGGTTAAGAAGTTTGTGCTCAGTCAGGAAGCCGAAACACGAGATTTTTGGAAACGTTGTTCTGAAAAACCGCGAGACTGTCCCGAAGAGATGCGTTTGCGTTTAAAATGCATCGTTCGAGAGAGCCCTTCGTCGGTCTTCGTTCGAGGACATTTCTAATGCGAATGAATATTTCGATCTCCAGGAAATCGGCCATAACTTTGTAATAAATAAATACAGTAAATTCTCCCAAATTGTTCTTCCCTAGCTTGTAAACAGAAATGGACAATTCCGGAAGAAATATATTATACATTTCACATCAAATACATCAATCATAATCGTTGACAATCGGCAACTATAAAAACGAACTGCGAAAATTCTATTTCCCGAAATTGTCCATTTTTATTTGCAAGCTGAAAATACAAGCTCTATTTAATAATAAACAAGCTCCGAATGATAGCAACCGACGAGGTGCTCTCTACATCAGTCGCTATGAAATACAAAAACAACGATTGAACAAAACCTCGGAATTCCCAAGAAAAGAAAAGAAACGTTCGAAAAATCGTCTCGCCTTCCGACCAAGCACACAACCCCTTAACCCGCTCCGTCCCGGTAGCTTGCCGGCTGATTAACAGCAAGGCGAAGTTAGTGTCCCCGTCTCCTCTAACATTGCCCGCGCGTTGCATCCCCCGAAACCGATCAGCATATTTAACAAGCACACGTTTCCCTGCAAATATTTCGGCGAGTCCGCTGATTGCCGGCGAGGAGTTATTCGTCCCCGGCGAGCAGGAAAATTTGAATTTGCCGGCCCCGTGAAAACCGTCGTGCTTGCGATTCGCAGAGTATCGTCCGGGCGTCGACTACCTGGCCCCGTGTTTCGTGGCTGCGCTGAAGGACGTGTGCGAGCCGCGCCGGCATCATCCGAGCCTGGGCCTGATGCGTTCGAACGTGCATTACCATTGCTCGAGAAGCTGCGAGCTTAAGGAAGAGGTCGGACGCAAGTGTCACGGGGCCAAGAAGAAGCGTCCGGATCACAGCGAACACTCGGAGAGCGTGCCGTTGCTGCACGCCGGGAGCATATCACGCGGAGCACCCTGCCAAAGGACGACCGGGTCCTCGATGTTCCTCACGTTCTAACGAGGCCAGCCAACGAATCGGAGCGATCGAAGCCATTTGGCGACAACCGTCACCCGGCCAGGCGTCTTTGCAGTTCGAACGCCGCAAGATTTTCCGCGCGTACTTCTCGAGAGGATGATTTCGACGTCGAAACACGGCGAGACACGGTTGCCCCATTTTTCCTCGGCAGATCGGTGGAGGACACCGGTCCTGTTTGAAACAATTAATTGTTACAGAATATTCGTCGTATCGTTAGAACACATCGTCGAGTAGATGGTTGATTCTTTTCGAAGAAGATCAAGTTGTTCAATGATAGTATTCGGTATAGTTAACGCTTCGACTGCCGCTTCGATTTTTAGCATAATCTGTCGCGAGTCGAGAAGCTCGTTCGGATCTACGAAATGTCAGACTCGCATCGGCCGATGGCAGTCAACGTGTTAAACTCGTGGATCGTGACAATATTTTTAGAGCAACTTTAGACAGTTTCGATTAGAGACAATAAATGGTGTTATCGAAATAGGTGTCTCGCATATCTCTCTCTGTCGTCTAAGAGAACGATGTCTGTTAGCCTAGGAAGATCTGATTCTAGGAATCTTTGTCGGTGGAACGTTAAAATCATTTTTCCTTTTAGGCGAAACCTACGTACGATTCTGTACGAAAGTCTGCGACACGTTTAACCGCGAAGTAGCATAAGTACGAGTACACTGTCGAACGCTGGAAATAGATCAGATTACCACCGTAGACGACCATGGTCAGTCGTTAGCGATTCTTAAAAATGCCGCGAGAATTTTAAATGCATATACGAAATGTCGCATGATTGTGTTAACGCCTGGAGAGGGAAGATTCCTGAGGTGATTTGAAGTAACTTTTTCCTTTGCGAAAATGCGATCCGTGGCTTCGTTTTCGAGTTATTAACGAAAAACGATTGACCAATGATAGGCGAGGTCGGCCGCCGCGAGGCGGGCTAGCTCGGCCGGCCGAGCCAATCAACGGAACTGGGAGAGAAACTCCGCCTCGCGTCGGCCGAGCTCGCCTCTCACTGGCCAGCGTTTTTCGTTAATAACTCGTAAACGAAGCCGCGGATCGCATTTTCGCAAAGGAAAAAGTTACTCCGAATTACTTCAGGAATCGCATTAACATAATTATGGAACACTCTCTGTATATATATATATTTTTAGCGATTGAAACTAGAATCTCGATTAGAGCGTAACGATTTTATCGAGTCGGACCTGTCTCGAGACATTTTATCTTCTGCCAAAGTCTGCCGTCGGCGGACCGCGCGCGGGAAAAGTAGCGAGCGAACCGTGAGAAACTCGGTGTCGCTGGAACTAGTTGCTAATTACTGTTGCACCGATGTGGACAGCGATATGCGCCGGGATATGTTTTGCAAAGGGAAACGACGCGGAAGGTTGTGTTTCCCATTGCCGTCGCGTTGCTCAAAGAACATCGGATCTCTTATTTTTTTTCTCGCGGATATTTTGTATGGAAATTTTCGAAAGAAGGTCTTGCAACACTTGTGCGAAGAACGCGTTTACAGCGTGCGTCGATGTTATCACATTGCGCCCGCGCCCCCCTGCCGAAAATACGCTGCGTTATTTTCACCTTTCGAGGAGACCGTCGGCACACGATGTATTCCTCCGGGGAGGAATAAATGCAACCGCGTGCCCCTTTCTTCCTGAAAGCGCATTTGCGAAGTGTATACTTACGTGCACACGATTTCCTATATCGTAGAATGTTAATACAAATGTTTTATAGTTGCTTCTCGAAATGTTGATAACTGAATGGAATTTTAATTGCGCTCTGTAACGAGGCTCGTTTTATCGAAACGAATGCGTTGTAATGTTAACACAAGAGTTCGCTATATGTATACAGGGTGTCCCGTAATTATGTCAACACCCGGGAATGGGGGATTCCTGAGGTGATTTGAAGTAACTTTTTCCTTAGCGAAAATGCGATTCGCGGCTTCGTTCACGAGTTATTAACGAAAAACGGTGACCAATGAGAGGCAAGCTCGGCCGGCGCGAGTCGGAGTTCCTCTCCCACTTTCGCTGATTGGCTCGGCCGGCGTGCGACGGTCGAGTTGCACCGCCTCGCGCCAGCGGAGCTCGCCTCTCATTGGTCAATGTTTTTCGCTGATAACTCGTAAACGAAGCAGCGGATTGCATTTTCGCAAAGGAAAAAGTTACTTCAAATCACCTCGGGAATCACCCCTTTCAGTATGTTAACATAATTACGGGACAGCCTGTATATATAGTTATTGTTCGTTGATTTTTCCAAGGTATTTTCAATTACAAAGACACGTCGAGACACTGGAACTCTTCGTCCAGGTTCGATTCACAGTTTTAATTGAGGCCACAACTGCCGCGTTCGCATTTTTAAAAAACGACGTGTCAGGACATTCCATTCAGCGTTCTCCTATTTAATTCACGATTGTATTATTACTAACGTAACACCATGTATTTATTAGGATTCGATTCAAATTCAAATCCGTTTGAACGAAATCATTTGTAATTTATTTTATATGAAACCCATGTTGAAAAATAAAAGAGCCAGATATTGTTTGATAAACAGGTTTGCGTCTTTAATGCTTACAGAGTGAACGGGAACTGTGTTTTAATTTTAGTTTGTACTTGCGTGCGGATGCTTTCAAGGGAACGACTAAATCGGCGCGTACGAAATATTATTTTCTGCAATTTTTATCTCGGCTGGAATACAACTTTCTCGATTCGATACGCGACATTCATCTTCACGGAGACGCTGCCGACGAATTTTTGGCTAATTTCGCAAAGAACGCGGCACGTGTTCCAATTAATATTGTAATTACTGCGACTTCGATAGTTGTGTTGCACAATTTGACAACGTTTTCTGGTCGGATTCTATCGCGAAAAACCGTTCGCAGCAGCGAATATCCTATTATCACCGAATATTCCTTTCCGTGTAACGGGGCTTTATCGATTTCCTCGTAATCCCAATTCCATTGGCCGATTCTATCGCATTTCGAGGTAAGACTTTGTGCTTTGAGCAAGATCCGAGTAGAAGCGTTCCGCATCAAATGCATAAACGCTTTCATTTCGAGCGCGTAATAATCTCCCGTAGCTTTTTATCAGCGGATAATCATGTTTCAACGCTGGAACCGCCGAGCCCTAAACGCGACTAATTATCACTAAATTGCTAATAATTTTATAACAGTGTCAGGATCGGATTTATTCACACTTCCTGCGGTTTTTGTTACAATATATGCTTTTCGATGGAAACAAGTTCGCATAAAAATGTTTAACAGAAACTTTCTTCGTAATATCAGGAACTGAAAAGGAAAAAAATCAGAGACCAGTCGTTTCGACTCGGTTTTTGGTAGTAGAACCTTAAACGCGACTAATTATTATTAACAATAATTTTATAACAGTGTCAAGATCGGATTTATTTACACTTCCCACGGTTTTTGTTACGATATATGCCTTTTCGATGGAAACAAGTTCGCATAAAAATGTCTAACAGAAACTTTCTTTATAATATCAGGAACTGAAAAGGAAAAAATCAGAGACCAGTCGTTTCGTTCTGGTAGTTCGGTGGTTCCAGCGTCGAGCAATCGTTGAAACGACCAACGAAACAAACCGTTCTCGCGGCTTCGCATAAATTGCGTCCTCCGCGAACGATTATCCCAACATTTCGCCTAACGTTGCCAGCTCGGTGGGAGGCAATTGAGATCTCTGATTGATGGCCATTAATCCGGAACATGAATAGAGTAGTTTAAGAGCGAATCATCGTCGCGAGACACGCGGCGATATCGGCGCGTCAGTCGACCATGTAACGCGGCCGGTTCTGGTGTTAACGAATCGCGATTACTTCAATGGGACACCGACATTTCCAATCTCTCGCCGCCAGGACGACGAATCCGATTAAACCCGAACGTCTCTCGGTCCCGTGAAAAAACAGCACGCGAGATACATGCGTCGTTCTCGACCGCGACGATCGCGTTTTCCGAGCGTTTTACGCGCTCGAGACGACGAACGGACGCGCGCGAAATGCGAAAAATCGCGTTAAAAGGATGCGAAGACATTGTTGCGACAATTTACAGACGATCGAAGTCGTCGCGGACGAAAATTCGCGTTCGCCCGATCTCTGTTTTCACGTTTATTGTTTTTTTTCCGGCAACAATTACGTTTCGCGAGGGCGTCGAGAAAGCGACGAGGACGTCGAGGTTCGGCGTTTCGCCGACAGAAAGAACAGAAGCGTTCCATACGCGCCGATAAATTGAAAAGTAATCTACCTAATGTAATCTCACAGTGTTCGTCGAACGAGGAACAACTCGACCGTTTGCGGCGAGCAACGCCGCGACGATTCGCCGGCGATTCGCGGAGACTCGTCGCGCGATAGCCGAACGATTAGGTTACTTGAGCAGAACGTGGCCCGGCAGGAACGGGTAGGTGTTGTAAATGTAAACGGGTCGATTGAAGGCGAAGGAATTCGCGATGGCCACGGCCGGGTTCGCGTCGAAGTCTTCCTCGGGTGCGCCGGAGGGCGTCGTCGGCTCCCTGGTTCGCGGCGTCGTTGCGGTCCTCGGTGTTGTCGTGGTTTTCGGGGCGGCGGTGGTGCTCGTGAAAACTGGGGGGTGGCTTGTCGAGTCCGCCGGTTCATAGGCTGGTAATCCGGGGGGCCCGTAATACGCATGCAATCGATTGTCGGCGGGATTAAAGCGTTGACCATTAGGACGCCATCCCCTTGGTTTATATGGTGATAAATCTGATGTTGCCAGTCCGATACAGAGGAGCGCGAGGGTCAACTGAAAAATGGAAAAGCAATTAATGGCTTAGCTGGCCCGCGATTTCGCGGACGTTCTGCCGACGACGCGCTCTGTAAACGCGACGAAGAAACCGGTGACGAACGTCGATGGGTCGCTTCGCGTTTTACGATGCGTTTTCTCCGTGATCGGCGCTCTGATTGGAAATGAAATTGGACGATTTTGGAAGAGCAGATACGACTGTTCGAGTCTTTTACGAAATTTTGTTTTGCGTAGAATCTGAGCGTTAATTATAGGGGGACTTTACTGTACTCCGTTCTACGAGAAGACTCGAAGATGCTGTGACTTTCATGGAGTAATTCACACATTCTTAGCTCGCGATTTCACGATCTCGATAGACCGTAGATTTTATGTACTCGAGACGAAAATAGAAGAAATCGAATTAGAAGAATTCGAGGACAATTACAGAGAACGTTTATGAATTATGAAAGTCGCCGCGAACAAAAGTTCGCGTTCGCTTAATTTCTGTGTCTTGCCGTTTATCGGGACGTTCGGAAGGTTGCTTCACTTTTTAATAACAATTACATCTCCCGAGGGTGTTGAAAAAGCGGCTAATTAAGTATTTAACCGACAAAAAGAACAGAACTTCCGCGAGCACGAGATTTCAAAGCTATCTAGAAAAATGTCAGAAAATGTCTTTCGCTCTACTTTACACTAAAGAAATTTTCTTTATCTTTTGTTTCCCCCCGGGAACGCTTATTTCGCACAAATGTCCACGGTCTGTTAATAATTACGAACACGCGCTGTTCTCCGGCCGCGGGTACAGATTGAATAAAGGACGCAATAATTGGAGGATTTGAGCGAACGTTTGATTTTCATCCGGTCGGCGACCAGAAGCAACAATGTGTATCCCCGTGCAAGGCAGCCGAACCGATTCGAGCAACGGATGTTTAATGAATATTTAACGAGCGATGAGTATTTAAATTTGAACACCGCGTTTCGAAACAAACGAAGACTGATGCCCGGGACCGACAGCGTGCCGCGAAGCGGTTCACGTCGAATGAATAATATTCAAAGTTGCTGACGAACCAAGGATCTCGTTACCGTTCTCCTCGTCATTGCTGGCCCGAGACCGTTAACTTCGCGCCGAAAAATTTGACTGGCCTTTGCCCGTCTCTTTCGCCGGTCTTTATATGCGGCCGCACGTTTACGGGACGCCGGCCGGCCATCTTTTGAATACGAAGCGACACGAAACGATTTCGTTTCGTTGGTTATTGCTTCTCGTTTCGTAACTACCAACCGTAGACCTATATTACGTGTCGGGAATGACCAGAGCAGTGGGCAGTTGCTTTTTATTCGAGACCTTTGACGAAAATAATGCCACGGGAGAAGAATTTTCTGACACGGTAATGTCTCTCTAATCGACGCTCGGATTGTCCACGAAAATGGACGATTTAGGGAGAAGGGAGACGATTATTCGAGAGCCTTGCGGTTCATTTTTATAGTCACGAATTGTCAACAACTATAAAAATGAGCTCTCTTCTTTCCAAATTGTCCATTTTTGTGCACAATCTGAGCGCCAGTTAGGGAGACATTAGTGTATCGTTCGCATCGAAACAGGGTAAGTTTAGGTATTGCAGTAATTTCTGCCTAATTCGCGTTCAGATTGCGCCCAAAAATGGACAATTCGGGAAGAGGAGATGCGATTATTCGAGCCCTGCGATACCTTTTTATAGTTACCGATTGTCAACAATTATAAAACCGCAGTAATGTATGCTCATAGTTAGTAACTATGTGTCAAATACTATCTTAGTAAATATTATTTGAGGATAGACGATAGACGACAGTGTACGTCGATTTTTGTTATTAAAGCAATGAATACTTTATCTAAAAGTAACGCTAGAGTGAATAAATAAATAAATGAACTGAAACTGCGATTGCTATTCCTTGTACGTTATAGATTATCAATATTAAACATATTAAAATTTATGAGATCCATTTTCAGAGGATTATGCGCTATAAAATATTATATTTTATTGCTTTCATAAAGTACCGCGGAATTTGAGGCGTCCGCAGTAATACCCGCACTTACCCTGCCCACGAATTTCAGCGAATCATTGATCGAAGCTTCGGGAGGATGTCGGTCGAATTTCTCGCGAAGTATAATTGAAAGAATATAATAGAAATAAATAATAAATATAATATAATTGGCAGGCGTATTTCAAAATTGCTTCAGATTTCGTGAGCAACAATGACGTCGAGATCGGAGTACAGTAATGTCTCCCATACTGACGCTCAGATTATGCACAAAAATGAACAGTTTGGGAAGAGGAGACGCGATTGTTCGAGCCTCGCAACTCGTCTTTATAGTCGTTGACAATCGATGACCATAAAAAACGAGCCACAAGGCTCGAACAATCGTATCTTCTCCTCCAAAATCGTCCACTTTCGTGGACGTTGGCCACCCCTTCGTACAGGGAACAACGATGATCGCGTCGTCGTCGCGTTCGCAAAGATTTCGAGGACAGACAGCACCCATAGCATAATATTTGCCGGGCTAACAAGCCTGCGTTAATAACGCATTGTTATTAAAATAAGCATTATTAATGCGGCCCCGTTCGGGTCAATCACGGTTTCATTATTTCAATTATTTATTTGGTTGCATAATTTCCCTCCCCCAGTGAATCGTATCGTTACCGTGGGAGCGGCAGTCATGCGAAAATTCAATCAAACCGGATACATAAATGACGGTTCGTTATACATTATTCGAACACGCGTGCCGCGCGCCGAGCCGCGGGGAACCTTATTATGACTTTTAGATATTCATGGTGTACGGTCGGCGAAGTTTTCACTTCTCCGAAGAACGCATTATAATTCGATCGCGAAACAGCGGAAGACACCGAATGATTTTCAATCGGTGCATATTTTGCAAAAGTTGATAATCCGGGTTGATATTGAAATTTTCGTTCGCCGTGCAGCACACCGCCGCGCGCACAATTTATGTAGAGTAAAATTCATAATCGTTCGAATTGCTCCGAATATTCATAGAATATTACACGCGTTCGGAATAAAATTAATTCGAACTCGTAGAACAGTCGGCGATGTAATAACAGTCGATTGAAATATCCGGTGATTTCAATGATACAGAGTTCCTTCGACGCGCGTACGCTAAAAATTAATAGTATGCTCGATAAGTATTATTGTAATTAATATAGGAAATTTTCAGGCGTTATATATGAACGATATTAGAATCTAATATATTTATAACATTAGAAAACAGTTGATATCGGCATATGAAAATATACAATTAATATATGAAATTTTCAGGAGTTACACATGGACAATATTAGAATCTAATATTTTTTTATAATATTAGAGAACAGTTAATTCTTTGCACTAAAATGGATAATTTGGGAATAAAATACGATTATTCGAGCCTTGCGGCTCGTTTTTATAATTATGGACAATATGATGTAACATAACCTTGACATAACCTTGACATAGCCTTGACATAACCTTGAAAATAAATAAACTATGAAAATAAATCGCAAGGCTCGAATAATATATAGGCTCGAATAATGTATCTCCTCTTCCCAAATTGTCCATTTTTGTGCGCAATCTGGGCGTCAATTAGAGAGACATATATATGGACAATATTAGAATCTAATATTTTTGTATAATATTAGAAAACAGTTCCCTCTGTCTCGGCAACGCGTATTTCAATAAAACGAGAATTCCCGTTTCAGATTTCGGCAATGCGTTAATAAGCTCGCGCGAGCAAAGCGTGAAAAAGCGACCGAACAATCCGGCGACCGAGTTTCGGCGATCGGAGGAAATTCCGCGCGGAACGCTCGCGTTCGCGGTCGTGCTCGCGAAGGTGGTCCGCTCGGGCGTCGAGCATCGGCATAACAAGTCGACACATTGATAAATTTCCAGACGGCGTACCGCCGGTGCAGGGGGCTCTCTTCGCCTATCAATTGCCAACGAATTGGCTGGCGAACGCGTTATTTACAAACGGGCGGCTCGTGTTCGCTGAAATTTCCCCGCGGGTTAGAGCGCGCCATCATCCTGGCGATGGGTAATTTCCTTCCCGTCTACGCCGCTTTAAAACGCGCCGGCGAAAGCACCCGTTGTAGTACATAATTTTGTCATGGGTTACGTGAGCGGGCAACGTGCCCCGAATGCGGCATGCATTATGAATTCGCAAGATCGAACCGCGCCGCGGCGGGCCGCCGCGCGATCGCCCGTATTCGCTCTTACGCGTACGAATTCGATCGGCGACCGACGCGGCGGTCCAAAAACGTGGCGTGCAAACTAATTACCGGATTGACAGTGAGGCTCACCCGACTTCGATCTGGATTCTGCTTGCGGCCCGCTCGGAACTTGCCGGCCCTCGGCCGCCGAGGTCGAAGCTGAGGCCCACGCTGATCCCGGCGTCTCCGGCGACTCCTGCACAACACAGAATCGGTCAACTTTCATCTTTGGACCAGTCATTCCAATTGTCGACTCGGCCGTTTCCGTGGAATCGGGGCAGCGGAGCCAGTTACCGTGGGACACCCAATTAGGGCGCCCTTAGCTTATTCCCAGGCATCGTTAAAATTGTATTTGTCGAACGGGACTTATTTAATATTTTTTTACGTATTCAATCTTTTTTCAGTGTTTCCTCTTTCGCTTTTTCTCTTAATTTTTAAATGATATAATAATACTTATACTATATATGTATTATAATATAATAAATAATAAATAGTAAATAATATATAATATAATATACATATATATATAATACTTATACTTATTAATAATTTTTAAGAGATTTGATATTTGCGAAGATTCATGGGAAAATTTATGTCGATGATGCTTTGAAATTTACCTTTACCTCCGCGAGAAATGCCAATTAATATCGATTTTACTTTCAGTCTTCCTTTTCTTCTCTTTCCTGTTCTTTTAGTCTTTTTATTTCTTTTTCTCGAAGGGCTAATAATTTCTATTAGCAAAATAAAATAAAGATAAAATAAAGCTGCTAAAGTTGTTTCAACGAAACAAGTTGACAACGAACTATAAATATAAAACTAATCGAAAGTAACATCGATGTTTCGTGAAGCAATCTCGCGGTTTTCAGCAGCGAGAACTCCCGAGGCCCGCCAACAGAGAGCACAGTAATTGGCTCCTCCGCCCTATTACCGGTACTCGCGGTAATTCGTGGCCGGTGCTCTTTGTTTCTCGCTGTTTTATCAGGATTTTTCGTCCCGCGAAGTTCGGTTCGCTCCCGATCGCTGGTACGGCAATTCTGAATTCGAAAGCCGCGATCAGAATGGCCGGCCAGGTGATACACGACAGCTGACGATGCTATCGCGATATTTTCATGAAAGGGTTTTGACGCATGGCGTTGTACACGTATGCGCAAAACTAGGCAAACACCGATCGCCGGACCGTGGATCTTTACGCGAAATAATAGGCCGTGCTGAAAGTTTATTTTGCCGTGCCCGTTGTTGCTGGTCTACGCGCGATCGTGTTTTTGGTGAACGTTCTCTTGTTTACAAAGCTGTTATTTATTTAACATCCGCGAATTTCCGAAAGTTCGCTCGATTCGCGCGTCGCGCGCATTAATGCGGTCGCGAATCGAAGGAGCTTTCGCGATCATTTAGTACGAACTAGTCCAATTTGCATACACGAGGAACTTGTATATGTATATGTATGTTCTTGATTATTTTAGGATAATAATCGAGAGTTGCACAGGCGAATCAACGCCAATGCCTGTACAATATTGAACTTGATTGTACTTCATACAATTATTAAGCTTCTCAGTCGCTTGTTCGATCACGGTTTAATCACGGTTTAAAGTAGAGAAAAATTGTTTAAAAATGATACAGCTCACTTCCGAATATTTCATCTGCTACTTTTTAATGATCTGCCTTGTTCCGCAAATGTCGCGAAATTGATATCGCCTTCGCGAACACCAGATTTACGTCAAAGTGGCTTCAATTTGAAAAGAAGTCGCGATTCTCGAAATTCCAAAGGAAATTATTTACATTATCTATCTCGGAGGTAGCGCATAAAATAGAATTAGAATTGCGTCAAAGTGGCTTCGATCTGAAAAAAGATCGCGATTCTCGAAATTCCAAAGGAAATTATCTACATTATTTACCTCGGAAGAGTGGCGCATCAGAATTTTAATCGTCGCGCGAAGCACAGTA